CTGCTGAAGTTACTTCAGTTACTGACACGTGAAGTTGCTCACGTGCCTCTTTGCAGCACAAACTCTTAGGAGTATAATCCTGATCTTTCTCGGGAGAGTTACGCAGGTCCTGCCAAGCAGATCTCCAAAGGCATTTAGACACCTAGTTCCTAGTGATTTTGCAGTAGACATCAAAATCCAGTTGAGAACCAGCACCTTAGTTCAGCAGAGCCAGCCTACGCTGAAGCAAGTTCTCCACTGCTGCTCTCCCAGGGAACTAGGTATTCAGAATATCCTCTTACTGCTTTCCCTGATTAAATGAACTGAAGCAATGAGGATTCATTGCCTGCATCCACTATCAGAGCAGGCATCATGCAGAAATATTGGAGAGACAAAAAGTGATGTAAGGATTAATTATGGAAAAATAGCCATTAAAGTGGCTCAGACTTGAAGCATAGCTCACCGTAGTCCATCCTATCTGTGGCCCTAAATCTTTAAAGTATAAGGTAGCAGTTGTGCCAACAGGGAGGTGCTGCAGGATTTCCTCATCCCTCAGGGACTTTCCTTCTGAGACGGAAAGAAGTTATTACATCTCAATGAAATTCAAGTCAACTTTGGTAGCATACCAGCTTTATATCGTGCTTCAACCAGTCTGTGAGATTCTTTGATGTGACATGGGTTTATCGGAATCTCAATAAACAAACTAAGGCTGTTTATACTTAATCTTGATTCAGCCCCGTAATCACATATAAGCCTGGGTCCTGTATCGACACCAAGACCACAGAGAGTTCTTAGCCCTATGTGACTGCCTGGTCTAGTAGACTTGCTTCATCTCTGCTACAGCAGAATTTGCTGATGGGTCACTGTCCATTGCACCTCCATCTCTCTCCTCTCCCTTCGTCTCTTCTCCTTCATCAGACACACAGAAGCTAGGATAAAATGAGATTGGAAGGCTCTCCCTACAGAGGTTTTCATTGCCTCCTTTTTTTCCCCAACCAACCAGCAGGAGGTGATTCCACAGGACTTGACCTGGTACTCAGGCTTTTAATGCCTAGATCTGGGGGAATCTCCCAAAGGCCAGCATTTTCGCATGACAAGTCTCACAACATAAGTCTACAGAGATCTTTGAATAAGGAAGTATGATACCTCCTGTGCCTGTTTTCCATGGACAGATTCTAACATGAACTAATCTTCACCAGCATACTTTTAAAGGACTGTTTAAATAAAACTATGCTTAATGGAAGCAAAAGAAGAAAGTGCTACATTTTATACTGAATGCTAAGATGAATTAACTCAGTTTGGCAATTAGACTTTCTTTTGCGCACCCAGGCCACGTACCAAGAGGCTTCTAGTAGCGTTACCTACAATTGCATTAATGAAGTCAGCCAGCTGGCATCAGCTTTGTCAGCAAATCCTACATCCATGGCAATGTGTTTTGCATTAGCTTACCTCAAAAGAACTGTAATTCCTGCCCGAGAGCAGAGGATTATGTGAATTGATAGCTCTAACTCATAGCCTTTTTGAGTGCACCCAGCTGAGCATCACTGTGGTCATTTCACTGCAGCTAAGGGAAATTAGTATCTGGATCCTGTGCTGCCTGCCTTGAAAGCCAAAGTGCTCAGTAGTTAGAAAGTGCATTGGAACAATGTGTAGACTCCTGAGTTAATTACCAAGCACCAGGCACACAGGTGGAGCTCTGTTCAGTGCTTTCAAAGAACTGAATTTGTTCTGGGTTCCCTTCAGCCTTCACAGTGCTAATCAACAGAGCTGGAAACTCAAGAGCTAATACCTATGCAAAGTACACCAGGCCCCTGCTCAGAGCTTTCTTACTCTAGTTCTCACAGGTACTTACTTGGATCAAGTTTTATCGACTGCCTTGCCGGGTACCACCGAGGATCTGCAAGACCATAGAGAATGGTGTGACACACAGTGTTTGGTTCAGATCATCCACTATTATAATGAATGCAACACAACAAGATATGATTTAGTTGAAGATATGTAGGAATATTTATTCAACATGAGTATCTGTGAGAAATTATGCAGCAGAAAAAAATACAAAAGCATATCAGGATAGCATAAAAATGATACTGAAATCTCCCTGTGATCGCATTCACGTGCGGATCACTTAGCGTTATGTGTGTGTGCGTTACATGTTTCAAATTCTGTCACTTTCTCCTCTTTCTATACTGGATATTCTGGTGTGAACTGCTGCAAAAGTTATACTCACATAATTTATGGAACATCAATCTGATCTCCCTAATCGTGGCATTTGGTTCCACCTAGGCAACAAAAAATATTGCGTACGTCAGATGCGTATTTCGAAAGGGGCGTGAGACTATTCAAGTAGAAATGTGACTTACAACATAACAGTACAACTTCCTTACAGAAGGCTGGGATTGGTATGGGTGTTCAAAGTACTTCTTACAGGAAAAAGAGAGGACAATTTGTGACATTTGTTTCAGGGGCAGCTGCTCTAGCAGTGGTCAAGAGTTACAACAACAGCAGCAGTGACACTTCAATGGCATATGAGCGAGTGAGACACCACTGGCACCATCGTGGTGAAGCAGCTGAAGTTGTGCTCTTTGCCCAAAAGCTGATTGTGGAAAAGACCTGAGCTAGTCTGCAGTCAGCCTGAAGTGTGGCCAAAGAAATGCTATCAGGAGATGAAATACCCTTCATAAACACCACGTTTACTTAAGAAAAGTTAGTGATTTTTAAACAGTCACCTAGCATTTTAAACAGAGTTTTGTTTTACCTTATCTAGGAAGCATAGCTGTTTCTTTGTCTTCCAATCAAGGATTTCCACCTGATAGGACACAAAATGATAATTACTAATTATTGGCTAAATAATCTCGAAGCTCTTAGTTGATTCCCAAATTCCCAATCATTGTTCAGAGTGAGATGCCATTATTCTCTGATCTGTGGACTGTGTTAAAAACACTTCTGATATGCTCAAGAGACAGCTTTAATCATAGCCAGGTTCTCCAAGCACTCAACTTGCAAACAAAAATCATATTGTTGCCAAATAAATAGTCTTCCTGGATATATTCAGAAGGAGAAGTAGCTAATGTATTGATCAGAACACATTGATCTGGGGTATCTTCTTATGCTAGAGCAAAAGGAACAACTAAGGGATAGGTAAGTTTCACAGTAATCACAAATAAACAGACTTTTATGATTTGTAAAACTAGAAAGACAGTTGGAGAAAAAGAAAGTACATATATGTGCATGTAAGGAAATATTCTGAGTACACAGAGCTTGAAAACATCAGCGGACATAACGAGGAAATGCAGCTAAAGATCTGGACTTCACCAATCCTTAAGAGGCTGTTACGGGAATATTTAGCGTTATTCTTCCTTGCAGATCACCTGCACTACTGACTGCACATGAGCATTTTGTATTTCAAGCAGTGGCTTAGCTACAGCTCTTAAAATGAAAGAGCAGTTTATTTCTGTGATCGAATGGCGCTTTGGCAAAAGGTTATGGTTTTAATCAACAGCCAAGCAGAAAAGTCCCCAGACATTTCAAAGCCCAGTTGCAGCAAAACCTTAGATAACAGTGATGGTGTTTTAATTCCATCTGTTCTCATCAAACGCTGTAACGGAGCTTTGCGGTACAGCTAAGAGTGCAAGTCCAAAGCTGATCTGTCACACTAAATGGCTGGGGCTATCATTACTTAGCACCAAAAGACTTTGTTGGGTGTTTTGTTTTGCTGTTTTTGTGGGTTTTTCTGTAATAAATACCTAGCATTAATTACGTTTGATATTAACTGGCCAAGAGGACAGATTAACATTAGACTTTAAATGTGATTCCTTACTAAAAATAGGAGTCACAGTCCAGTATCTTTCTAATAGGGTTGCTTTGAAGAGATCACTTGGTTAGAGTATCTTGTTTCCTTGTCTTACTTGTCCCAAATTGTTCTTTCTCTATTGGCGCAGCCATGGAGCACTTCAGCTCCAGCCAGAAGTACCAAATCTGATCTCCATGAGGGACACAAATGCAGCGATGCTTTCTACCTGTGCACTGTAAGCTCTAAGTCAGACATCAAGGGAGGTAAGCACTTTTCCTCCTTTGTGACAAATGGGTGACAGAATATTGGGATATTATAAGTTTTCCCTTCGTTTTTTACATTTGAAATAACACAAATTTCAAGTTTCAATGTCTCCATTTGTGGGACATCTCCATGGGAAAGCAAATGAAGTGGATTCCCTTCCCAGAAGGTGAATCTTGAAATACAGCACTCTGACACTTGCAGTCCACAGAACAAGGACTGGGGGGGGGGGGTAAATAATTATTTTCTCCCTTCTGATGCTGAGTTGCTACGAGGATTATAGAAACGTTTGGTGAATCTCCAGGCTCTTGCATCGATGAATACCACTGGGCTGCCCTTCAGACTGCAGCAGCACCCACAGATTTAGCAGTCTCCTTCCCGTTCCATACCCACTCCCAGCACATTTATTTTTAATCAGAATCCCCCAAGGGCTGTTTCAGTCTATGCCTTCAGTAGCTATATTAGAGAAATCTTCTCCAGGCCAATTACAGAGTGGTTTGGATATCTTTCTGCCACCTACACTCTTTTAATTGAGTTATTCTCATTATACACAAAGCCAGACTGAACATTACAGAGCATTTTCTTTTGCTTTGTGGTTTCCATGGGAGTGGCTGTACAGAAATTTAGGTACTTCAGTGAACCTTTGGAATCAGTGTGGCAAACAAACAAACAAGGCATCCAAGATCTTCTATACTTCTATACTATATATTTGGTTTTATTCCAGCATGTCTCTGAAGTTTGTACCTGTCTGTACTGGCCCATTTCTTCAAATACCTAAAGGGAGTCTATAAAAATGATGGGTCCAGATCCTTCTTGAAGGTGCACAGTGATAACACCAGAGGCAACGGACACCAGTTGCAATATGGGAAAATCCAATCAGGTACAAGGAAATTTTTCCACCATGAGTTTAGCCAAATGTTGGAACAAGTTTTCTAGAGAGGATGTGGAATCTCCTTCCTTGGAGGTATTTAAAATTTACAAGACCCAGTGCCATTTGATCTACTTGCATGTATCTGCTTTGAGCAGGAGTTATACTGTATGACTTCCAGAAGTCCCTTGCAACCTAAATTATTCAATGTTTCTAAATTCTTTTTTGATACTAATTCCTGAATTTCCAATATTTCAGTTACTTTCAAGATCTAAGCAAATATCAAACATTGTTTCCCTTTTCAGAAAGACAGATGCAGGAACATACCTTTCAATTCCTCTCAGACCATACAAAGTTGGGCGATGACAGACTAAAAACGAGGTGACTGTTTCATTATCACACCTCTTAGCTGTAGCAGAGCATCCCCCAGTGTTTAGATGCATAAGAGCCTGATCCAAGGGGGGTTGGACTGGATGATCTTTCGAGGTCCCTTCCAACTCCTCATATTCTGTGAAGGCAAGCAATGTTATCTTTTCTGAACATAATGGCCAATCACATGAACCCACATAGCACTGAACACGGTGTTTCCAGTCTTCAGGCTCAGCACCAAGTCAGTTAATGTATTGGTTGGCAACGGTTTTCAGATACCCAGCAATCTGTTCTTGGAACACTTACTGATGGGTATCATCCCTTTCAAACATAAGTGGCTTGGCTCGGAGAACTTGCATTTCTATGTGTTTTCAAAGCATTTAGCACAGTAGGACACTGACTGCTGGTCTGCGCTAGTGCAGTATGACTTATAGTCCACTTATTTGGTGAATTTTCAAAGGCATTTTAAAATTCTGGCCTCTCTAAAACTACTTTGAGTAGAACTTAATCAATAGGCAGATTTGTGCAAGATAGCTATGTTAAAATTCTTTTATAAATGACTATAAACGTATCTTCGATGTTTAGAAGGCAAACTTGCTTTAGTGCATATGGATTAAAGATTGGTAGTGTCTTTAAAATAGAAAAATTATTTCTTATCATTGATTAGAACAGGTCGACAGCAAAGAATAATATCTGACAGAAGCAGAGAAAAGTACATTCAACTGTTACACTTTTGTTCAGGAAAAAAGGGGAAAATAAAAGGGGAAAATAAAAGGGGAAAAGTTTATTCACCGGAAAAAACCGGTTGAGCAAACACTGTTTAAAAGAGATTTTTTAAGATGCAGTGTCCCTGCAATAGGATTACAAAAATATATTTCAAATTCATGCAGTTTAAAGCCATATCAAGTGCTTCAGGATCAACGGATCTTCAAAAACTATGTGATAACTGTTATGGAAATACTGACGCACTTATCGTGTGTGTGCATCTCAGAAGTTTTCTCTGCAGCCATTTGTACTCAGCAGATTCAGTGAAGTGTAACTGAGTGAGATTTTGTGAGCACTGACATAGGTATATATTGTACTGATTTCTTTGGAAACTACTCAGTTAAAAAATGGCTTATTTTACAGTCTGGGAACCAACCA